AGTTATCCACAATATATTAAACTATATGATTAAGGCTGAAAAATTAAGAGTGATGTTTCTCTTTCATGGTGCTAATGGAAATTGGAATGTTCTAAAGCAAAGACAATTTATGAAGCAATTCTGCTTTGCAATAAATGACATCTTATACCCAACAAGCAGGACTACCACTACTGCCAAGACTTCAAGGCACAGAAAATGTATTATGTAAGAGGATCTTATGTAAGAGGTCCCATTTGATAGAAGAGAAATTTAATACCTGGTGTTCGGATTGTGTTACTTGTTCTTTTCTCTCTCTCTCTCTCTCTCTCCAATGGGACTTGGCAAGAGCCTGAAAGCAGCATTTGGCAGTTGGGTCTAGGCTGAAGCTGACATTAGAATTGCCATGGGGTTGTACCAAAAGTGATGACCAATTTGATCCCTTGTTATAATATATAAAAGCTTTTATTAAATGGAGTTTTGCCAGCAAGTTACAAGTCACTAAGACTTTGTTTTGTGCATCAAGTTGACATCAATACTGAGACTTACATTGTGAAGATGGAGCACCACAGATTAAATATTTTTGCAGACAAGTAGACAGGCCCACCTTTCTGTGAAGGAGGTCAATATTCCTGCAGCACTGTCTTAACTTTGCCAAAATATTATACGTATTGAAAATTAGCATGAAGTATCTACTTCAGTGTTTCTCAACCTTGGCAACTTTAAGTTGTGTGGACTTCAACTCCCAGAATTCTCCAGTCAGCATGCCTAAACTGGTCTAAATGCTGGTCTAGAACCAGAGAACTAGGTTTAAATCCTCACTGAATATGAAGTAAGTTTAGGTCAATAATCATTCTCTCAGCTGAATGTATCTTACAGTGTTCTCAGAATAACAACGGGAATGGAAGACCTTGAAGCATATTTACCTCTTTGCATTCAATGTGAAATCAAAAGGGAATGCTGGGAAGTTTTTGTCCTCTGTCTATTGTTATATGAGGAAGTTCCAGTTTGTCTCCTATGCTTTTTAATATCATCATGTTCTCTCTGCTTTTCAATGTACACAATGCAATCACTTGAGGAAGTTAACCAGCAGTTCAGACTGTGGTGAGACAATATACAACTCTACTTCTGCTTTTCATCTTCAACCCCAGGAAGGTGCTGGAACTCTTGAACAAGTATACAGAGGTAGCTCTGAGATAGATGAGGGCAAAGCTTAACCTAGATTAGTCAGATGTGCCATGGTGGGACAGAAATTTACAACCAGTTCTGGATACTGCTGCAGTGTTCCTGAAGGACGGCTGCAATTCTGGAGGTTCTGTCTGTGGGATGTGGGAGGATCCATTCTGGACCTGGATGCTTTAAGAAATTATAGTTATGGGCTATACGTTACCCTCTCTAAAGACATGTTGATAGATAAATTAAACAAATTGACAGTATTATCCATCTTTTTTTTTTTTTTTAAGAAAACTGGATTTCTACCACAACCACCGTCACTCTCTCTCTGCCCAGCCCCTTTAAGATCAGCAGCAAAGAAACAACAGATAGAGACAGGCAGGCAAGCAGGCTGAAACTAACGCAAATACAATCGAGAAGCAACTAATGATCCCCATGATTCTGCACAGGCGACCCTTTAAAAAACCAAGCAAAACACCGTACATGTACGTATGTATCTTCTAAAATGCATGCGAGAAAATGCACATACCCAATCATGATCTCAGTGGGAAGGGGGGAAAGATCGCAGCTTTTCCCTTCTCCTGCCAAGTTATCATTGAGAAAACAGACAGGCAGAGTGACGTCCTGGGTCAGACTGAGTGCGGCTCGACTCTACCAAGGAAACAGGGAGGCCCGTGTATCCCGCGGATGCCCACCGCCGCCCTTCCTCCCCGCCCCGGCCGCTTCGTCTGATGCGGAGCAGCTGTTTCAATGGATCCCGTCCTGCGGGGAAGCCTACCGATCCCCGGGCAACTGCTTGAGGAGGGGGCCTCGGGCTGCCTCGGACAAGCATCTCCCCCCTTCTCCGGCTGAGGTCGCGGAAGCCCAGTGAAAGGAGGCGTGTGTAAAGATTTTGCAATGTCCCTGCATGGTGTTGTAGACTTTCCTAGCAAAAAAACCGGCTTCGGCTTCTTTACAATCCCCGGCGACTCACCTGATTAACCCGCCTGCGGTTCTGCCCTGACCAGGTAAACCGAGTCCAGACCTTATCTCTTCATACACATCTGGAAGCAAACATTGCACCCGGGGCATTTTTATTTCCTTTTTTTCTTTACAAATTGGAGAAGCGAGCAGCGGATAGCTCTGTTTGTTGCACTCCTCTTCCTCTCCTCCGCTGCTAGCCCCAGACCCCGTTCCGTGG